TTTCATCTCAGTGTTTTACCTTTTAGTTTTGTTATTTCATTTTAAAAAATATTTTCAAAATATGTCAAACACTTTGAAATCTAGAGTTTTTAAAATTTTGTTTTTGTTTTAAAATTTAGGTAATAACACAATTGTGTTTCTAAGAAATGTAAAAACGTACCAAAGAAATACGAGACAACAAACATATATAACTTTAAACTCATGACAAAATAGTTATCAAATGGGCTCTAAGAAAAACGAACATTACATTAAGGGGCAATAACATGTTGATGCGTGAATTATACTCTCCCGGTTCCTTCCGAGGTTCGCACCAAACTTGATAATCATGAAACAGAGAACTTGCAAAACCAATCAAACCTAAACCGGTGTGACTCCAGTCACACGGGCTCCAATGCCTAAGTTAGCAAGGAGAGTAGATGGATAATGAAATTAGAGTGTAGAGAGTAGGGTGTTTTGGCATACCTCTAGAGTTTGGCTCCCCTTTCCATTTATAGAAGTCGAATTCTAATCCCTTTAGGGTTTACCCCAGTCGAATCCTCATACATCTCAATATTCGAACCCGCTCATTCGTTGTGGGCTTTAGGTCAAATCGAGAATCAAGTCGGGATACTTCGAGTGGGACTGCGAAACGGTCGGGATGAACCGCTACAGTTCTCTGTCGAGGGGCCGAGAACTGCTCAGCACCGAGGCCTGGTCGGCAAGGGGCCGGCCCAAGTCGTCGGCGCCAGCCCCCCTTCCTGGTTCGTGCTTTCTCTCGGGTTTCCTTCAGGCCCCGTCACTTGGTATATTCTTCTTTTATCTCCCCATAACAGTAACCCCCACTCTCAAAATAGAAGGCAAGAGAATGTTAAGGCTTCAATATTGAGAGTATTTGTTATCTGCTGTGGATGACTACTTTGTGGAACAACCCTATTTTTAGTCGTTGTTGGTTGTCGTCTCCATGGGCTAACTTTCCTAGCCCTCAYTCTCTTTTATTGCAGTTGGCTGTAATCAAATCTTTTGGGCTCAACCATACGGTTAGTTTTAGTATTAACCGCCAGATTTTTGTTTTGGGATCTAACTTTCAGTTGGATTGGCTGTATCACCTTTAAGTTTCTAACCTGTTTGGGTTTTGCTCATGGTTTTATACTTTAGGTTTTACGCTTGGGTTTTCAACCTATTTGGCTTTTGCCAATGGTTTTATACCATGAGTCCGGTTGATACCCTTMTGTCGTTGTCGGTTGTCGTTTCATGRGATGATCTTGTTAGCTTCATACTATTTCTACATAATTGGCTGCAATCAAGTCTCATGGGCTCTACTATACAGTTAGTTTTAACCTTAGATTTTAGCCTTGGGATCTAACTTTTAGCTGGGCTAGCGATACTACCCTTGGGTTTCTAACTTTATTTGGTTTTTCCCCATGGTTTTATACCCTGGGGTTTACTCTTARGTTTCTAACCTATTTGACTTTCGCCAATGGTTTTATACCTTGAGTTTAGTCGGAACCCTTCGGTTTCTAATCTATTTAGCTTCTGCCAGTTTTTTACCCTGGGTTTAATCAATAGCCTTGGGTTTCTAACCTATTTTAGCTTTTGCCAAATGGTTTTATACCCTGGGTTCCCTTGATTGGTTTGGCTTCCCAACTTTCTGTTGCAACTTTGCTGGGCCYGTACGCATACTTTTTTCAGCACCTTTGGGATTCTATTCCCTGGTTTCACTGACTGGTTTCCAGCTTATCGGCCTGCTTCTAGGTATATCCCAGTTTGAGTTTGTTTATGCAGGAATTTGCACAACGGTTCTTCACGAATCGAGCTCGAACCCGGTCTCCGGTTTCGACCTGAACACTAGAGTGGACCTGCACAAGAGGGTAAGCACTCCGACGCTCAAGTCAGTATAGATCGAATTCCTTATTTAGTTCGAGGTGAGATTCCATACCTGAGCGTGAAATGAAGCCCTCTATTTATATGTGACGGATCCGACAGCACACACGACCGGCGGTTACATGTCTTTTCTCATATCGATCCTGTCGGGTTCCGAGCAGGTCGGACCCCAGTCAGGTCGAACTTTGGTGCCCACACTTCATCTTTTAAGAGGCAAACCCGGTCACCTCGGCGAGGTCGAGGTGGACCTAAGCAATCGTTTTTATCTAATTTCTTCAAACATGAATAAGGGTCCTCCACGTGTCCCGAGTACGTTTACTCCCAAACATTGGCCCCCTCTCTGTTAGGTTCGATCTCGACCTGACAGAGAAGTTTATTTGAATCTATTTTGGACACGTGGCGATTTTCTATTTGTAGAGGGAATATGACCGTTGCAGAATACGTTTCGACCTGCCAGGTTGTCGGAGCACTCAAGCGTTTCGCCGTTGCGTATCCCGAGAAGATCCCAGCCGCTCGTTGATTACACGTGTACGGCGCGGAGGTTTTTCCGATCAGCTAT